GAAGCCAGACACAAATATGCGTTCCTTGTTGATCGGGGTGTCAAGGTCAAACTGTTGTAGATCCCCTCTCACATAGGCCTTATAAAACATGACAGAGTTGGTGTCCTCGCCAAACTCGAATCTAACAAAGAAACTGTTGAATACAATCTGGGTCTGTCAAAAAGAACCCTTAAAACTGTAATTAGGAAATAACTTATTGATGAATTTGACCCAAGTAGACAAGTGCAAACAGGCACTAGTCGATCCATTGTTTACCATGATGAGATGCATCAAGTGAAACATGTATATGGAGCAAGTAACAAGATCACCAGATTACAAGATGTTGTAACCACTAGACCAGTGGTTCCCAAACTGGGGGCCATGGCCCCCCAGCAAAATTTAGGGGGCCATAAGCTGAGGCTATGTACACATAAAAATCCCAAGCCCCACCACACTAGAACAGCCAGTCAGCAGCTGAGCCAGCCAGAGATATGGATTGGGAGAGGGGGGCCATGGATAAGGATCATATATGAAAAGTGGGTAATGATCAGAAAAAGTTTGGGAACCACTGCGCTAGACTAAGGTTAGGATATAAGTACCTCTGACAGTATGTCCCTCAGGCAGATGTGAACCAGACTAAATGTAAAGTGTGTGGCCAGACATATGGCCACACACTTGAACACTACGTCCTCGACTGTGTGAAGCTAGAACCTTTCAGGGACAGGTCCAAGCACACTGTGTGTGAAATGGCACAACACTTCATCTGTCATGGCAAGATAGCCGACATATTAAGATTGTATCCACTTTTTTACACTTAGTAACTATATCAGTCCTCATGTATAGAACCAAACACACAATGTGCTTGAATACCTCGTAAGCAAATGTGAATTACAGAGTGTGCGGTCTATAATGAGAGAAATCTCACAAGAAGAGGATATTACATATAGGTAGAATATTTATAGTAAGAGGAATGTAAAGAGAGGAAGTTCGGTAGCGTGACTCGAGGGTGACTACGTATATTAACCCAGGCTCAGTACAAGTGCAGTATATAAAACACAACTGCGTGTTACAGCTTTATTTTACTAGTTGCATAGCGGGGAATTAATGGGGGATTCATACACAGGGTATGATAGGCTATGATATGTTCGTTTAACTTCACAAGTCGAATGGGCACTTCACTAAGTCGATCGTTGGGAGGTTCGGGATCACTGCACTTCTACCGCCTACACAGCCAACACTTACTGTTATACGTTGAGTTGACAGCACTCTGTCGTTGGACCCGGCTGAGACCTCGTTGCCTTTAGTGACGGACTTACTTGATGAGCGGGACTGGGGACGTCGCTGCTGGCCCTCCTTGGTTATCAGACTCTCCCTGGTGAGAGGAGCTCCAGCCCCTATATATTGGAGGAGCCGGAGGATGACCTCTCAAACTGAACTGGGTGTGTCTTGACCGGGTTGTTAGGTCAACAGGGTGCTGGCTGATTAGCGGGTCCTTGAATTAACAAGGTCATGACGCCTGGTTGAGCTGATCCAGTGGCGGTGAGAATGCTGGTTCCCTTGTGATCTTGATCTCCCTTGGGTCAGGTCTGGACAGCAGTTTGCCCAGGTGTGGTCATGTCGCAGGTCAGTAGTGCTTTCTAATTATTACCGTCCGGGTGTGTCTTGGCCAGGTGTGGTTTCCTTAACACGGTCATATCGTAGGGTTACTCAAGACTTGTACTTAGCGGCCGGGGTCAGGTCCCATGGGCCCTGACCCAGGGTGTGTCAACTTGGTACTCGCTGTTATAAGTGTTGTAATTCTCTGGGCTGTAAGTTGTGGTCTGATATAATCAATCATTACATGCTAGACATACTGCCTCACACTCCTTTACTCACGCAGTTGTCAATAAGTTACCCTCTATGTACAGAACTAAACAAATAATGTAATTGAAATACTGTGTAACATTCAGTGCCATAATATCCTGACCACGGGGGTTAGTTATACTGACCCATTGTAAACTCTACTCTGCAATCCTTTTGGGCTACCGTTCACAAGATGAGTATGGGGTGCACAATAAACTAGCCGCTGTAAGCGGCAAAATAAAAAATCAATCACAACCATCACCACAACTCCTCCATAACCACCACTTGACCGACAGACACCAAAATCACTATCTGTAAAAAAATTTCCAGGTTATTTTTGTAGAAGGAAGGCAGGAACGCACCATTAACCGAGAGAGAGAGAGAGAGAGAGAGAGAGAGAGAGAGAGAGAGAGAGAGTTTCCCACACAATTTTTCCCTCCCTCCGGAAATTCTTCTCGACCCCTGAATCATCTGCTCAGAGTCTGGTGGAAAGGTGTTTATTTTTGGGTAGTTACTGGGTGGTTGGAGACGTTATGTTGTGGAAACGAACGTAACATTTTGATAAACTGATGTACTGAAGAACTTATGTGTGAAGAGTAGTTATTATTATTATTATTATTATGATTATTATTATTATTATTATTATTATTATTATTATAGTAGTAGTAGTAGTAGTAGTAATGCTGGCCACCAGGTTGGGGGTGAAGCTAACATTCACGCCATAAGAAAGATATTTGAGCAGCGTGAATGTGAAGCAGTACTCTTGGTTGACGCTTCCAACGCATTTAATATAATCAACAGGAAGGCTACACAACATCAAGATTAAGTGTCCAAGCTTTGCAATGTATGTTGATAACACCTATAGAAACCCATCAGACCTCTATATAGTAAACAACAAGGCTCTAAGAGGAGATACCACCATACAATACAGTCAACTGAGGGAACAAAGCAGGGGGACCCTGTCGCTATGGCAGTGTACGCACTAGGCCTGTCTGTGCTCCAACACACAATAAAATTTGAAACAACTGAGGTCAAGCAAGTGGCTTATGCTGACGGCCTTACAGGAGCAGGAAAAGTGGAGGACATCAAAAAGTGGTGGGACCAGGTAACATCATATGGTCCACAATTAGGGTACCACCCAAATGCCAGCAAGTCCTTCCTCATTGTGAAGCCAGAACAGTATGAACGGCCAATGAAAGTGTTCGGCGGAAGTGAGGTCAAAATAACAAAGGATGGCCAAAGACACCTAGGTGCAGTAATCGGCACGACGGACTTAAAGAAAGGTGAATGAGTGGGTTAGGGAAATCCAAGCTCTGTCTGATGTTGCTAAAACAGAGCCACATGCGACTTTTGCGGCATTCACCCACGAGTCAAGCATCGCTGGAACTACCTGATACACACTATCCCTGATGTCGGGCCCCTCCTCTACCCTCTGGAAGAAGCTATCAGTATCAATTATATTTCAAAATTAGTGAAACACCTTCACGCAACTTCAGCAGAAAGATCACTCCTTGCACTACCACCGAGACTGGAATGAATTGGATTGACCAATCCAAAGGAGCTTGCTGCCACTGAACATCAGAACTCAGTCAAGCTCACGTCAGCCCTCACTTAGCACATAATTATAGCTCAGAATGTAACAAATGAGGTGGATACCAGTTAATTATACAAGATTCGACGGTCCATTACGACAGAACGACAGCACACACAAAGTAATAAGCTGCAGCAACTGTTGCAAAAAGTACCAGGGAACTTGAAAAGAAAAGTAGCTCTAGCGCAGGAGGTAGGCGCCTCGAACTAGCTAACAACATTACTGATAAGGGCAAAAATTTCATCCTTAATAGACAAGAATTTACAGATGTCAATGCTCTGAGGTACGGTAGGCCAGTTTGCCCTCCCAATGAGTGTGTGGCTCTTCCTACGACATCGACCACGCCATGGTGTGCAAGAAAGGGGGCTTCATATGCATGAGGCATGACGAAGTAAGGGATCTAACAGCAAATATGTTGAAGGAAATCTGCCACGATGTCACGGTGGAACCGCCCCTCCTTCCATTGGATGGTGAGAACTTCCATCACAGGAGTTCAAACACATCGCACAAAGCCCGTGTGGACGTCAGTGCTCGAGGATTTTGGACATGGGGACAGTGGCCCTTCTTTGATATCAGGATATTCGACCCCATGTCATTGTAACCTAGCTCTCGATGCTGCACACAAAGAGGAACGACAATTGCAAGAACATGACGTAAGCCCAGAGAATTCAGAATGTTGATCAAGGCAGCTTCACTCCTCTGGTGTTCACAACCTCTGAGGGGGATGGGACCAAGTGCATGATGCTTCTACGCAAGACTGGCCAAGGTGTTATCCGAATAGAAGCAGCAGCCCAGAAGTTACGTTACAGCCTGGTTGAGATGTCGACTGTCCTCTCTGCTTAGGTCTGTATTGTTTTGCCTCAGGGGAACGAGAGCTTTGGCCCCAAAGCCGACAACAGCTGCAGATATTGACTAGGAGGCAACAGTCACTGAATGCCGCATAGATCTGCGACTCAACTAACTCAACACAGCCAGGGTAGCTACTTATGTATTAGGATATTTAATATTAAGGTAATAAAATGGTGGCGAATGTGTGGCTATTGGGGGAGGCTGGAGGCCACGGTAAAAAAAAAGTAGTGGTAGTAGTAACTTCACTGTTGTTAACCACTAATTTTTCCACTCCTAAACCTGCCAATACCCTTCCCCTCCCTCGCCCCTCCCTGGTCCCCCCACCTTAACTTCTTCCTCTTTTGTTCTCCTTCTCTCTTATCCCTTCCCTCTCTCCATACCTCTCGCCCCCTCTCTCCCCATTCCCCGCTCACTTCTTCCCTCTCCCTCAACTTACTCACTCTTCCTTACCAGCCAAGCGAGGAAGTACACATACCCTACTTCTCCTCCTCGTCCTCCCGCAGTTAGTGTCGCCAGGTAGATGGTACAGGTAACAATCTCTCAGTATCGTAAGTGAAAGTTTTACCTCAAGTGTAGGTATGAGAATGAGGTCAAATGACGAGGTTATTATAGTATGATTCACAGAAATTTCCACATGGCGGGGAAATTTGCCTAAAACACTTACAAAAGTTATTTCTCCGACAAACCTCTGTGACTGTGACCTTGTAAGTGTTTAAGTAGGATAACACAATCAACACTATGATTTAAGTAATGCTTTTATTGATCTTGATGTATACAGGATCTAAGTAGCTCCTGTAGCTGTGGCCATTGGCTCGTGTAAGTATTAATGTTTCTTAAGTCAGACACGAATACAAGAGAAATAAAAGGTACAATAAGCTACTTAAATTCTCACTTATGTTACTTAAATAAAATTCTCATAAAACTTACCAATAAATCCCTACTGACATTTGTTTGTTTGTTTACTTTATTTGTTCTTATGAAATTAACTGAAATGTTTATTATTTTTTTTTTCTGATATTCCAAACTTTTTATAAACGTTTATGATGTTTAAGTTGGTAATGTTTCAATAATACACAAACAAGTATTAATGTTAAAATCGTATATAACACAGTATTCAAATCCCCAAATTAACAAGTGGTAATGTTTACACAGAATCAGATGTTTAAATATTAAAATTAAACAATATGATAAGAAATAATTTAGATATTTGTTATGTATATGATGAGATAAAATTGTCAATAAATATTAATTGTGGAACATCTATAAAGAGTATAGTTGTCTCTTAAACATATATCGTTATCTCATAAATATAGCTCTTCATATGACGTGTCCCCAGATAACATTTATTTCACACATACAAAAGATTACTTACAAACAAAAATATTTAAAACATAATATAATAAAATTCATAAATACTTGACATTAATCTGTACTATTTTTAATGACGTAAAAATAATTGAACCTTCAAAACCAAACGAAACTATAAAATAATTGAACCTTTACGATACTGAAACAGTTCGAAGCAAAATCTGAACCTATTCGAACCTTGTTAATTCGGTTATAACTGAACCTCATACCGACTAACACTGAACTGTGTGGTAAGGTTCTGAGGGGTTCTATTAGGAAGTTCAAATTTAGTATGATGGAGTTTTTTAATGAAACCTGTGTGTATGTATGTGTGTGTGTATGTATGTGTGTGTGTGTGTGTATGTGTGTGTGTGTGTGCATGTGTGTGTGAGAAAGACATTAGTTTTGTCTCTGAACCCCTGACAGAATCCCTTCTACCAGACAGAGGTTCAAATTAACAAGATAGCAAAACACCTGAACCCTGAACCTTATCAGTATCGTGAACCTGACCAACGATAACTACCTCGTCCTGAACTACTGCTCGTTAGTTACCTGTTAATGATATGTTAATAATGTGTTTTGCATATAATATTAGCTGTCTGTGTTCTAGCTCAACTGACCCACGTCAAGCAGTAAGCACTTCTCCTCTATACCTGAGGTCAAGCTATAACTCCAGCTACAACACCTGAAGTCAAGGTATAACTCTAGCTACAACACCTGAGGTCAAGGTATAACTCCAGCTACAACACCTGAGGTCAAGGTATAACTCTAGCTACAACACCTGAGGTCAAGGTATAACTCCAGCTACAACACCTGAGGTCAAGGTATAACTCTAGCTACAACACCTGAGGTCAAGGTATAACTTAGCTACAACACCTGAGGTCAAGGTATAACTCCAGCTACAACACCTGAGGTCAAGGTATAACTCTAGCTGCTACAACACCTGAGGTCAAGGTATAACTCCAGCTACAACACCTGAGGTCAAGGTATAACTCTAGCTACAACACCTGAGGTCAAGGTATAACTCTAGCTACAACACCTGAGGTCGAGTTAACTCTAGCTACAACACCTGAGGTCAAGGTATAACTCCAGCTACAACACCTGAGGTCAAGGTATAACTCTAGCTACAACACCTGAGGTCAAGGTATAACTCTAGCTACAACACCTGAGGTCAGGTTTAACTCCAGCTACAACACCTGAGGTCAAGGTATAACTCCAGCTACAACACCTAAGGTCAAGGTATAACTCCAGCTACAACACCTGAGGTCAAGGTATAACTCCAGCTACAACACCTGAGGTCAAGGTATAACTCTAGCTACAACACCTGAGGTCAAGCTTTCAGCCACAACACCTGAGGCCAAGGTAAACTCCAGCTACACACCTGAGGTCAAGGTATAACTCCAGCTACAACACCTGAGGTCAAGGTATAACTCCAGCTACAACACCAGAGGTCAAGGTATAACTATAGCTACAACACCTGAGGTCAAGGTATAACTCCAGCTACAACACCTGAGGTCAAGGTATAACTCCAGCTACAACACCTGAGGTCAAGATATAACTCCAGCTACAACACCTGAGGTCAAGGTATAACTCCAGCTACAACACCAGAGGTCAAGGTATGACTAGCTACAACACCTGAGGTCAAGGTATAACTCCAGCTACAACACCTGAGATCAAGGTATAACTCCAGCTACAACACCTGAGGTCAAGGTATAACTCAAGGTCTCTACACTCAGACCTCCATGGCACACCTCATAAGCTTGGATTCTACAGAACACCCCGGAGTGAAGGTCTGTCTGTCCGGCCCCGTCACTCACCAGGGGCTGAGTCATCAACATAAGACATAAACAGACATAGAAGGTGTCTGACTGTAAGACATTGCATTAATGGAGGGATGGAGAGGGCTTTAGTCAAGTATTAAAGGATAACTACCATCACCTGTCATAGCCTATACATATGGATCACCTGAAGATTAGCCACCCATTGCTTTAACTCACCTGATGATTTAACACCAATGGGGACTGGGTTTGGTTACGTTAACATAAAGGTTAAAGGTTAGATTTAAGTTAACATTGTTAGGTTAGGTTAAGGTGTATAATTAACAGGTGGAGTAAGCTAGGGCGTCTAATGTTCAGGTGGATCAGTTCTGTTAATACTAAAATTTGTTATCACATGAGTACATCGGAATAATGGTCTTTACGGACCTTGTACAGTAAGGCCATAACTACCTGCCCGAAGATCAATGCAATAAAGAGCAGTTTTGGGTGGTCCATATTTGACCATTACATTGGGCGGATCCGTAAGTGACCCCTTCCCTTTCAGCCCCACTTAGCCCCCAACCCAACTCACTTAGCCCCCATTCCAGCCCCACTTAGCCCCCATTCCAGCCCCACTTAGCCCCCACTCCAAACTCATTTTAGCCTTTATTCCAGCCCCACTGAGCCCCTTTACAGCTCCAGTTCGCCATCATTCCAGCCAGCCCCCTTAACCTCCAGATATCCTAGCCCGATCTTCCAATCCTCTTGGCCCCTCTTCCGGAAGCCTACTAGAAGAAGCCCCGGAAGCCTACTAGAAGAAGCCCCGGAAGCCTACTAGAAGAAGCCCCGGAAGCCTACCAGAAGAAGCCCGGAAGCCTGAGAAGCCGGAAGAAGCCCGGAAGCCTACCAGAAGAAGCCCCGAAGAAGCCTAGAAGAAGCCCCGAAGAAGCCAAGCACTAAGAAGAAGCCGGAAGCCTACCCCCGGGAAGCCTACTAGAAGAAGCCCCGGAAGCCTACTAGAAGAAGCCCCGGAAGCCTCCCAAACACCGTCCTCTCCTATTGTTTCCTGGTGTCTTTTACTCACAAACAGTGCTTGAGGGTTTCAAAGATGAATCCCAGAGAAACCTTGGAAACCTTCTAAAACAACACTTTATTATTAAATTAAACCAATATATTCTATGGAAACCTTCTGGAAGAGGTTTCATGGTGGAAACCCAATCAAGAAGGTCCTGTTACCCTGTGAAAATTACCTCGGGAAGCCTTCTTAGACAACCAACTAGAAACCTACTCCTACCCTGTTGAACAAACGCTTGGAAGCCTCTTGTCAGCTCTCACATACACCCTGACAATCCCGGGCCAGAGACTTCCAGATCCGCCCTCTTCAGTTAACAGTAAACCAGGTTGTTACAGCAACTATCTAACGATCTAACTATATAAAAAAATGGTTGTTTATATAGCTGTTAAACCAGCCAGAACTATTATATTGACTCTTGTTAAACCAAGATATTATATTATTAACACTAACTTCACAGATATAATATTTTATATATATATACTATATACCAGTTATGTTCACTCACACACTTGTTATATCGGGTCTGTTGAGGTTAAGTTAGATTAAGTCACGTTGGGTTAGGTTAGGTCAGATTAGGTTTGGTTAGGTTAGGTCAGATTAGGTTAGGTCAGATTAGGTTTGGTTAGGTTAGGCTTGAGTGTGAATCTCTGGAAAGAGTCGGTATACATCCTATATCTTACATATATTTGACCTATATCTTATAAATAACAGATATATAAGATTTGAAGCATCACCTCGACCTGCTGACGCCCGAGTGGAGCACAGCCTCAAGTCAAGGATCACGTCAGAGGGTCATATCTACCTAAGCCTCGAAACAGACCTCGTTCTCGTAATACTCATCTACAGACTCTTTGATATTAAGCCTCTCTTAATTATTTTTAATGACAATAAAATAAAAATTAAAAATATAAGAAAAAAATATCACAATTTACAGTTTTCTTCAAAATTATAATATATAAAAAAATCTGGCAGTTTCATAAGGTTTACAATGTTGTCATAAGGTTTACAATGTTGTCATGAGGTTTACAATGTTGTCATAATGTTTAAAATGTTGTCATGAGGTTTACAATGTTGTCATAAGGTTTACAATGTTGTCATAAGTTTTACAATGTTGTCATAAGTTTTACAATGTTGTCATATTGTTTAAAATGTTGTCATGAGGTTTACAATGTTGTCATAAGTTTTACAATGTTGTCATAAGGTTTAAAATGTTGTCATAAGGTTTAAAATGTTGTCATAAGGTTTACAATGTTGTCATAAGGTTTACAATGTTCTCATAAGGTTTACAATGTTGTCATGAGGTTTACAATGTTCTCATGAGGTTTACAATGTTGTCATGAGGTTTACAATGTTCTCATAAGGTTTACAATGTTCTCATAAGGTTTACAATGTTCTCATGAGGTTTACAATGCTGTCATAAGGTTCATAATGTTGCCATGAACTTGAGACAAACTGCTCTATAAACTAATAAGGAAGATCATGATTAAACTTCATTATATTTAGAGAGATGTCGCAATGAGGTGTACAGGTCAGTCAGGTATGCAAGTCAGTCAGGTGTACAGGTCAATCAGGTGTGCAGGTCAGTCAGGTGTGCAGGTCAATCAGGTGTGCAGGTCAGTCAAGTGTGCAGGTCAGTCAGGTGTGCAGGTCAGTCAGGTGTGCAGGTCAGTCAGGTGTGTTGGTCAGTCAGGTGTACAGGTCAGTCAGGTGTGTAGGTCAGTCAGGTTTGCTGGTCAGTCAAGTGTACAGGTCAGTCAGGTGTGCAGGTATGTCAGGTGTATAGGTCAGTCAGGTGTGTAGGTCAGTCAGGTGTGGTGTGATCAGAAGTTAAAGGAGACTATTCAGTAGTACAATCATAATAGTCAACAAGTGGGAGGTATTATAAATATTAAAAGGCAGTAATTACAGGTATGTGTCAGGTGGGTACATACAGTATATATTTACGAGGTGTCAACAGTTTAAGTCTTAATATCACAGATTAATTCAGTACTTGTGGTGGTGGATGAGAGTAGCACACACACCATTATATCTTTAAGGCGAGTCTGTTTTGGTTCTGGTAGATGATGTTTATTCTCTTGTTCTTCAGGGAGCAGGAGGGGTGGGGGGGGGGGTGAAAGATGGAACCTGATTATATATGAAGGGATATGTGTTGATGATCTTCCATATTAGTTCAGGTTCATGCCACATTACTACATTGTTTAGTGTAGGTTCGTGTTTGTTTTGGACTGCTGTTAAGGTGTGATTTCCTTACCAAACCATCACTTGATAGTTTTGGCGGGAAATAAAATATAAATAATAACAGCTGATCTTTTTGGCGGGAAATAAAATACACTCAACAGCTGATGGCGATAAGACATCACTGACACTAACATCAACCGCTTGTGATTCTTCTGGACAACTTGAGAACGACATAATTACCTGACTTAACAGCTAGCCTCACGACTAATAACAACACCCCACTAACAACTCCGAGAGGTTATGAGTTGCAAATGACACTAAGAAACCAATGGCAGGAAATGTTGACACTGACACGATACTGATGTGCGTGTGTGTGTCTGTCAGGAGAGATAGATCGAGGCTGTGGGGAGGATCTGACGCCCCGCGCCCTTCACTGTCAACAATATATATAATAAACATGTTTGGATGACCTTGTTATTCCTTTACTTTGGTACAGCCATTGACCACAATACCCTGATATACTTTAACCGTCTCTACCTTGACCAAGCTGACACAGTAGTGGTCATGTTTGTTTAAAGTTCACTGATAATCGATTACTTTACGTCATATATATAAAGAGAACTATTTTATTACCGTAACTTTAATTTCTATGTATTCTTTTTTCCACTCGTTTTAAGGTGTCGTTTTAAGGTGTCGTTTTAAGGGGTCGTTTTAAGGTGTCGTTTTAAGGGGTCGTTTTAAGGGGTCTTTTTAAGGGGTCGTTTTAAAGGGGTCATATAATTCTAGGAACTTTTAATATATTATCAACATTTATAGAAAAAAGTTGGACCAAGTTTTGGTGAATATTATTTAGTATTGTCGTAAAGGTTCATAATTAACTGGTGATACTTGGAGGTCCATAACACATTGTCTTAACACTGAATTCCTCGCAGAGATTATATCAGGGTGACTTAAACCATCTTAAAACATACTTCTCCCGCTTTGTGTACTGACCACACACACACACACACACACACACACACACACACACGCACACACACACACACACAGGATAAGAGTCGTAACAGCTGCTGACAGACAAATATTTCCAGGTTAATGTAATCTGATATTTGTTTTTGTTGTGGTATTAATTAGCGTCTACAACCTGGGCTGTCGGGTGTAGCAGAAGTAACAATACAGAGATCATTAAGGCAGAACGAGGTGAGGTGAAAGAACTGTCCTCTTTATAGGTCACGTCGTTCTCCCTGTACTTATACCTCACAACATTAACTCTGTTCTTACTCTCTCTCTTGTCCTCCTTCTTAGTCTTATTCTAAAACAACTCAACTCTTATATATTCCCAGGTACAGTACACACACACACCTGCGGGGAACACCTGTATATATTATTTGTAACATAGAGACCCGGTGTGGGTACCCCGAGCAGTGACACCTGTGGGTACCCCGAGCAGTGACACCTGTGGGTACCCCGAGCAGTGACACCTGTGGGCACCCCGAGCAGTGACACCTGTGGGCACCCCGAGCAGTGACACCTGTGGGCACCCCGAGCAGTGACACCTGTGGGCACCCCGAGCAATGACACCTGTGGGCACCCCGAGCAGTGACACCTGTGGGCACCCCGAGCAGTGACACCTGTGTGGGCACTGACAATGACACCTGTGGGCACCGAGAGCAATGACACCTGTGGGCTTTTGAGCAATGACACCTGTGGGCACCCCGAGCAATGACTTCCTGTGGGCACCGAGCAATGACACCTGTGGGCACCCCGAGCAATGACACCTGTGGGCACCCAGAGCAATGACACCTGTGGTATCCCAGTGTCAACATCACTTTTGTAAGGAGGATCCTGCCCTCCATCCCTCCTTCCTTGCTTTTCAAAAGCTCGTCTTCAAGATACCTGGCGATGGGACTTACGGCCTGCGCCGCCTGGCAGTAGGACACGGCCTGCGCCGCCTGGCGATGGGACACAGCCTGCGCTGCCCTGGCGATGGGACACAGCCTGTGCGGCCCCTGGCAGTAGGACACAGCCTGCGCCGCCCTGGCAGTAGGACACAGCCTAGCCTGCGCTGCCCCTGGCAGTAGGACACAGCCTGTGCGGCCCCTGGCAGTAGGACACAGCTTGCACCGCCCCTGGCAGTAGGACACAGCCTACGCCACCCCTGGCAGTAGGACACAGCCTACGCCACCCCTGGCAGTAGGACACAGCCTACGCCACCCCTGGCAGTAGGACACAGCCTACGCCAAGCAGCTAATACTAGACATTAAGACAACGAAGTTTCTTGGGAGGCAGTTTGGCAGAGAACTGGAAGGTGTTCCGCCTCTCCTCGGCAGGTTGTGGCTCCTGGTGTAAGACAGCGGCAGCGACGGCAGGTTGTGGGTGAGGCTCCCGGGGGCCGTCACCCATCAGAGACTTGAGACACATGTTGTTCTCCTTGATCCTGAGCCTCACCAGAGTCTCCAGGGAGGCCAAGTGCTCGTCGTAGCCTTCAGGAACCTTCTCTCTCATGAACTCAGCCAGACGTAGTAGGTACTCCACGTTGTGACCTGTAGAGACACCACAACACGTCACCTCACAACACACCACAACACGTCACCTCACAACACACCACAACACGTCACCTCACAACACAACACAACACGTCACCTCACAACACACCACAACACGTCACCTCACAACCCATAACCCCAACACGTCACCTCACAACACACCACAACACGTCACCTCACAACACACCAACACGTCACCTCTCAACACAAACAACACGTAACACTCCCACAACACAACACAACACGTCACCTCTACAACACAACACGTCACCTCACAACACACCACAACACGTCACCTCCACAACCTGACCACAACGTCACCTCACAACACACCACAACGTCACCTCACAACCAACCACAACACGTCACCTCACAACACACCACAACACGTCACCTCACAACACAACACAACGTCACCTCACAACACAACACCAACCATCACCTCCACAACCTAACACGTCACCTCCAACCTGGCTAACACGTCACCTCACAACACACCACAACACGTCACCTCACAACACAACACAACACGTCACCTCACAACACAACACGTCACCTCACAACACACCACAACACGTCACCTCCACAACACAACACAACACGTCACCTCATCAACACACACAACACGTCACCTCACAACACAACCACAACACGTCACAACACAACCTGACACGTCACCTCACAACACAACACAACGCGTCCACCTAATCAACACCCATCACAACACGTCACCTCACAACCTGGCCCACGTCACCTCCCCAACACACAACCACGTCACCTCACAACAAACCACAACACGTCACCTCACAACACACACACAACACGTCACCTCACAACACAACACAACACGTCACCTCATCAACACACCACAACACGTCACCTCTAACCCACCCCTAACACGTCACCTCACAACACAACCACGTCACCTCACAACACACCACAACACGTCACCTCACAACACAAACAACACGTCACCTCACAACACACCACAACACGTCACCTCTAACTCCACAACACGTCATCACAACACACCACAACACGTCACCTCCAACAACACAACACAACACGTCACCTCCACAACACAACACAACACCTCACAACACACCACAACACGTCACCTCACAACCACAACACAAACGTCACCTCCTAACACAACACAACACGTCACCTCACAACACAACACAACACGTCACCTCACAACACACCTGACCACGTCACCTCACAACACACCACAACACGTCACCTCACAACACGTCACCTCAACAACACACAACGTCACCTCACAACCCCACAACACAACACGTCACCTCACAACGTCACCTCACAACACACCACAACACGTCACCTCACAACCCACAACACGACACGTCACCCCCAACACACCCACAACACGTCACCTCACAACACCACAACGTCACCTCACAACACAACACAACACGTCACCTCATCAACACACAACGTCACCTCCACAACAACACACCACAACACGTCACCTCACACAACACCACAACACGTCACCTCACAACACAACACAACACGTCACCTCCACAACACACCACAACACGTCACCGCAAAACCACACACAACACGTCACTTCACAACCACCACAACGTCACCTCACAACACACCACAACGTCACCTCAAAACACACCACAACACGTCACCTCACAACACCAAACACGTCACCTCACAACCACCACAACACGTCCTCCTACACACAACAACACGTCCTCACAGCACACCACAACACGTCACCTCAAAACACACCACAACACGTCTTCTAACAACACGTCACCTCCTCACACACAACACGTCACCTCCAACACACCACAACACGTCACCTCAAAACCACACCACAACACGTCTTCTAACAACACGTCACCCCACAACACACCACAACACGTAACCTCACAACACACCACAACACGTCTTCTAACAACACGTCACCCCACAACACACCACAACACGTCACCTCAAAACACACCACAACACGTCTTCTAACAACACGTCACCCCACAACACACCACAACACGTCACCTCACAACACACCACAACACGTCACCTCACAACACACCACAACCGTCACCTCACAACATACCATAACACGTCACCTCACAACACGTCACCCACAACACACCACAACACGTCACCCCACAACACACCACAACACGTCACCTCAAACCACGTCACCTCATAACACACCACAACACGTCACCTCACAACCACCACAACACGCCACCTTAACAAACCACAACGTCACCTCACAACACACCACCACGTCACCTCAACACACCACAACCGCCACCTTACAACACCACAACACGCCACCTCCACAACACACCACAACACGTCACCTCCACAACACACAACAACACGTCACCTCACAGCACACCACAACACGTCTTCTAACAACACGTCACCTCACACAACACCACAACACGTCACCTCACAACACACCACAACACGTCACCTCAAAACACACCACAACACGTCTTCCTAACAACACGTCACCCCACAACACACCCCGACACGTAACCTCCAACACACCACAACACGTCACCTCACAACACACACAACACGTCACCTCCACAACACGTCACCCCCACAACACACCACAACACGTCACCCCACAACACACCACAACACGTCACCTCACAACGTCACCCCACAACACACCACAACATGTCACCCCACAACACAACGTCCCCCACAACACGTCACCTCACACGTCACCCCTGACACGTCACCTCACAACACGTCACCCCACAACACGTCACCTCACAACGTCACCCACAACACAACACACCACAACACGTCACCCCTAACACACCACAACACGTCACCTCACAACACACCACAACGTCACCCACAACACGTCACCTCACAACACACAACACGTCACGCCACAACACGTCACCTCACAACACCACCACGTCACCCTCACAACACAAAACAACACGTCACCTCACAACACACCACAACACGTCATCTCACCACCACAACACATCACCTCCACAACACTCCACAACGTCACCTCACAACACAACACAACACGTCACCTCACAACACACGTCACCTCCACAACACTCCCACAACACGTCACCTCACAACAACACGTCACCTCACAATACACAACAACACGTCACCTCACAACCTCCCAACACGTCACCTCACAGCACAACACAACACGTCACCTCTAACACACAACAACACGTCACCTCACAACACACAACAACACGTCACCTCACAACACAACAACACGTCACCCCACAACACACAACAACACGTCACCTCACAACACCAACACGTCACCTCCACAACACACAACACGTCACCTCCACAACACTCCACAACACGTCACCTCACAATACACAACACGTCACCTCACAACACACAACAACACGTCACCTCACAACACACAACAACACGTCACCCCACAACACACAACAACACGTCACCCCACAACACGTCACCTCACAATACAACACGTCACCTCACAACACACAACAACACGTCACCTCACAACACACAACACGTCACCTCACCCAACACAACACGTCACCTCACAACACACAACACGTCACCTCACAACACACAACAACACGTCACCTCACAATACACAACAACACGTCACCTCTGATACACAACACGTCACCTCACAACACACAACAACACATCATCTCACAACACACCACAACGTCACCTCAAATACACAACAACACGTCATCTCACAACACACCACAACACGTCACTCACAACACTGCACAACACGTCACCTCACAACCTCCACCCACGTCACCTCACAATACCACAACACGTCACCTCACAACAACGTCACCTCACAACACACCACAACACGTCCTCACAACACACCACAACACGTCACCTCCAATACACAACAACACGTCACCTCACAACACACCACAACACGTCACCTCAACACACCAAAACACGTCACCTCACAATACACAACAACACGTCACCTCACAACAACACGTCACCTCACAACACCCTAAATATTTTGTAAATTAAAAACTAATTATTTCGTTATTATAAAAAATAAAAACACTATATGAATGCTTACATATGTGTGTGTGTGTGTGTGTGTGTGTGTGTGTGTGTGTGTGTAGAACTGTATGTGGCAAAAAGTGTCTAGGTATAACATCGACATAGCAGCCATGAGTGAGTCCCGGTTCCCAGACGAGGTCAACTCACAGATCGGGGGTCTGGCTATACCTTCTTCAGGAAGGGTAAGCCTGCTGCAGAGAGAAACTGCATTTATGGAGTTGGCTTTGCCATCCGCTAACGCATCCTACACAAGCTAACTGAAATGGCTATTGGGATCAACGAGCGCCTCATGACACAGGTCCCACTGAATCACTCACTTCATGCTTTCTTCATCAGTGCATACGTCCCAACACTGGATGCAGAGGATGGCATCAAGGAGGCCTATTATGCCGGCCTTGACAGAGTGCTAAACTCTATCCCCAGAAAAGACAAGGGTGTGCTCCTTGGTGACTTCAATGCCAGAGTTGGCAGAGATGCTGCCATTTGGCACGGGATCATAGGAAGAAATGGACTAGGCAAGTGTAATCCCAATGGCCCACTCCTCCTCAACAAGTTTACTGCACCCAACCTCCCTATCACCAATACCTTGTTTAGGCAGGCCGAAAAATTCAAGGGTTCGTAGCACCCACGATCCAAACACTGGCATCTCATTGAGTACATAATTGTCAGAGAAAGAGATCGCCGAGATGTCCTCATCACCCGAGCCATCGTGCTCAGACCGCCTGTGACACGCTGATCATCGGCTCGTCAGAATAACTCTCACTTCACGTCGCCTAAAACGGCGAAGGCAGCAAGCCTGCAGAAGGGTTTTTAACACTAAGCGTCTGGAGGATCGGTGGTAGCACCTGCTTTCAGAGAGCAGCTCGAACATGGGCTGATAAAACAACCTAACAACAAACAACCCAAATCCCAGTGTCGAATGGGATCTCTTATACTGTTATGACAAAAACCTGCGAGACCCTCGGCAGATCAAAATAATACACAGGACTGGTTTGATAGAGAAATGACCAGCAATCCAAAAGTACTCATCGATGATAAACGTGCTGCTGTAACTGACTGGCAAAAACAACCTCGATCTCCAGGCCAAAGAAGCTGATACCTTCCGCAAAAATAAAGCGGCAGCAAGGGCTTCACAATCTAAAGAACGACTGTTTAAAATAAAAGCATGTGAAGCACAAAAAGAATTTGCAGATCAGCACAAGATGCGAATTTTTCAATTCCACTTAAACATTTTATGGGCAAATCGCTAATTGGGTGCAACCCCTCTCCGCCATCCGACGGTAACTCCATGAGTATAGATGAAAGGCCTCCTGAATCACTGGAAGAAACCCCTACCATTCATTGCTCAACAAAGTACCAATGTGGATATCTGTACCCAGCAGGTCCCTCAGCATCAGAGCTGACCCACCTCCAGCTATCCACCATCCCTGGATGAGGTAGCGCTACTGCCATCAAGCAACTGAAATAACAAAACACCAGGGCCTGATGAATCCCAGCCAAAGGTGTATAAAGCAGAAGGACACTCTGCTTACCAGGCGTCTCCACTCTCTCCTGGAGAATATATGGAAAAGCTCTTAAAAGACGCCTCCATCGTCAGCTATTTATAAAAACAAGGGGGCCGGTCAGCTGTGGCAACTACAGCAGGATCTCGCTGCACCAGCCACCAGCAGCTAGCAGAATTATCGCGGAATCCTCCCTAAACAGACTTTCTGGGCAGGCTTCCTCCCAGAATTTCAATGTGGCTTTGGGCCATCATGGCACCACGGCGCGCCAGTTTCATGATTTTTGCTGCCCATCAGATACAGGAAAGTGCAGAGAATAACATCGTGACGTGTGTACATGACTTTCATCAACCTAACCAAGGCCTTCGACTCAGTCAACAGGGAGGCCCTCTGAGTCGGACCCTCAGCCGTTTTGGCTGCCCACCAAATTCATCACCATTACAGCCAGAGGCAACTTCACGATGGCATAAACGGCAGTGTCCTGCAATGGCACCCAGTCAAATTCTTCCCCATCAAACGGGGGTCAAACAAAAGTGCATACTGGCACCAACTCTCTTTTCATTTCCTGGCTGCCTTCCTTACTCGTGCCAATGCGAATTTAGCCGGCTGGATGGACATCCGGGACCAGATGAAGGTCTTTCAGCATAAGACGATTTCAGGCAGAACAAAGGTGTCGGCAGCTTCCATTACGAACTTCAGTATGCGAACGACCTCACCCTTGTCGCTCACACTGAACGCGACCAGAGGAGATCCTGTGAACACCTACGCGAATGCGAATGCACACTTCGGTCTTGAGGTGAATGTACGTAAGACTCAGATTCTCTTTAAACCTGCCCTGGTTCAAGCCACACCTCCACCATCCATCCAGCTTAACGATACTACCGCTTTCTAATGTTACCCATTTTTCAGTATCTTGGCTCACCTGTCACCACCGCGGACATCGATGAAGAGATTCAACATCTGATCAGATGTGCATCTCAAACCTTTAACGAGCCTCCGAAACCGTGTGTCTTCACTGTGGGGAGCTGGAAATTATCTACAAGTTGCACGCCTTATATCAGACGGTGGTCCTTCACCTGATATATGGCGCTGCGGCTTATAGGTCACCTTAGGAGGCACCTCAAGGCACTTGAAAACTTTCACCAACGTAGTCTACGTTCCATCCTCCGAGCATCGAGGCTTTCACTATCCACGAACAACTACGTTGGACTGGCCATGTTACCCGCATGGACGACCAGTTAGACTGCCAAAGCCGCTAATTTGCAGTCATCTAACGAATAGAGACGTAATGGTGACGGGCAACTGAAGAGTTATAAGGATAGTCATAAGATAAACCTGAAAAAGTGCCAAATCGACCCCCTCACCTGGAAGACGATCACTCCACACCGTAACGCTTGGAGGAGCACCACACAAGAAAGTATAAATACTTTCGAGTTAGCCGAACTACATACCGAGGCAGACAAGCGCCAACGCCGGAAAGACGCTGCCGTCGCCCCTCCCGCACTAGATGTAGCCCTCCACATATGCAACTTCTGTGATCTACCCTGCCAGTCCCGTATCGGCCTCTTTAGTCACCTCATATCTCACCAACCTAGGTGACATCCTTAATAACTCATATCTTTATGCCATAGCAAAGTAGTAGTAGTAGTAGTAGTTGTAGTGTGTGTGTGTGTGTGTGTGTGTGTGTGTGTGTGTGTGTGTGTGTAAACAACTGACAGACAGACATATATACAGACACAGACAGAGAGACGTACAAACAGACGTGTACAGACAGACACTCACCTGAGGGCCCAGAGCACTGAGTGATCTGAGTAGCTATCTCGTGTAGAGGCGCCTGGCCTGCCCACTCCTGCGAGGAGGGCGTGGCGATATAGAGCAACACGGGGAAGGGGTTGACGGCGGCGTCCTTGGGGAAGAAGGTGACGACGTTGGTGGCGTAGCCTCCCAAGGACACCTCCCGAGTCTCCAGGTAGTGAAGGGCGGCTTCTCCTGTTAGTTCGTAGGCGACACCCCAGGTAGCGCCCTGAGAGAGATAGTTGTTAAGTGATTGGGAGAGACCGAGAGGGAGGGAAGTAGAGAGACGGAGAGAGAAAAGAGACAGGTCGAAAGGACGGGGGAAGGGAGAGAGGGAACGGGAATAGGGTGAAAAGTAAGGAGCGAAGGAGAGATGAAGGAGAGGAAGAGAGGAAGAGGGAGGGAGGATGTATCTTGAAGGAGGAGGCCAGAAAGGAGATGGAGAGGGAAGGAGAGAGAGAGAAAGAGGAAGGGGGCTAGACTACGCTCCCTTCCTTTAAATCATCTCTTTAAAAATATCTGTTGTCTAAGTATTAATATTTTTTGTAACACTTTCTTTATGTTCGTATTTTTATTGTACCACCAAAACCATTGTATCATATATTGTCACGTAGATATAAATTTCCATTGCAATAATTATATATTTGCTTCCTCCTTATCATATTAATGTATATCAACTCTACTGTAAACTATGTATATACTTATAATATAAATGTAAACAAATAAATAAATAAATAAATATATAAGTGATAACTGTGGTAACATTATGAGATGTTCTTATTACCACCATGCTATTGTACTATTCCAGATGATACTAAATGTTACATAATACTTCCTTGAGATAAATGTATAGTATATATCAGGTGCCTAAAAGAGAGCTCAGGCTCTCAACTGGCTCAGCCATGTTAATATTGTTATTGCTACCACATGGCATCACGAAAATTGTGACCAATTCCCAGGTTGATGATCTGACTGTCTGCCTCATTTACCCAATTGCAGGTCTCATTTGTTTCTCTTAATACTGTATTGACAACACAACATACATATATTGTTTCTCACTTTTGATTTTTCTTTGCGGTTTCTTTATTATTATTATTATTATTATTATTATTATTATTATTATTATTATTATTATTATTATTACATTTCGCCCCCAGGCCCCGATGTGGGTCAATGACCTGTGCCTGGGTGGGCTAATCCCCGTAAAAAACCCTCTGTATCTGTGTTTTTCTGGCTAAATAAACTGTTTCAATATCAATCGGGCCATACAAGACCCCCAACAGCCTGACCTGGCGTCACGAACGATGCCAGGTCTGACATTCAACACAATAAAACCACTCCATGTAAACAATACCTTCCATCCTGTCTGGTCACATGTTCTCAACGACACGAGCAGCAGCGCCAGTGAGAGCACAGGCCGGGCGAACGGTAGCCAGGCGAAGATGCTAAAGTGCGTATCATGCGCTATAGTTTAGTGCGGTGGCGAAACATGAAGGAGCGGTGATGCCAGAGAGAGAGACAGACGGAAGGAAGAAAGTTATAGTACACCCCGGGTCTCCATGGTGATAGCAGGGAGGTATACTGAGAGAAGGAAAGACTGAGTGTGGATCCTCTACCGTCAGCGAGGTCAGGAGATACTAGTCACGCTTACCCCCTCCTGCAGCCAGCCAACCATTCAGCCGCCCAACCAGCCAGCCAGCCAACCATTCTGCCGCCCAGCCAGCCAGCCAGCCAACCATTCAGCCGCCCAGCCAGCCAGCCAGCCAACCATTCTGCCGCCCAACCAGCCAGTCAGCCAACCATTCAGCCGCCCAACCAGCCAGTCAGACAACCATCCAGTTCAATCAGCCAGCCAGCCAGCCAGACGGCCAGTCAACCAGCCAGATAGTCACCCAGCCAACCATCCAGCCGCCCAACCAGCCAGCCAGCCAACCATTCAGCCGCCCAACCAGCCAGCCAGCCAACCATTCAGCCGCCCAACCAGCCAGTCAGCCAACCAGCCAGTCAGTCAGCCATCCAGTTCAATCAGCCAACCAGCCTCTTCCCACAAGGGCTTTGGCAAGTCGTACTTGTTCGTCCTCTCCTCATCTTTCCCCTGTCCTTCAACTCGTCTGCCCCACCCCACACTGCACCCCACCCCACACTGCACCCCACCCCACTGCCCCTCCCACTGCACCCCCACCTCACACTGCCCTCCCACTGCACCCCACCCTCACTGCACCCCACCCTCCACTCCCCACCCTCACACTGCCCTCCCCACTGCACCCCACCTCACACTGCCCCCACACTGCACCCCACCCTCACACTGCCCCTCCACTGCACCCCACCCCCACACTGCCCTACACTGCACCCCACCCTCACACTGCCTCCCACTGCACCCCACCTCACACTGCCTACCACTGCACCCCACCTCACACTGCCCCTACCACTGCACCCCCACCACACTGCCCCTCCCACTGCACCCCACCACACTGCCCCTACCACTGCACCCCACCTCACACTGCCCCTCCCACTGCACCCCCACCTCACACTGCCCCTACCACTGCACCCCACCCTCACACTGCCTACCATCACACCCCACCACACTGCCCCTACCACTGCAGGTATAATCCCTGACAACTCCGCAGGAAACCAACCAGACTTATGACACAGCAGCCCTTCACACGCCCGGTGGCCTACCTAACCTAACTCAACCAACCCAACCTAACATAAATTAACCTAACTTAACCAAACTTAACCTAACCCAACCCAACTTAACCCAACCCTAACTAAACCCAACCCAACCCGCCCAAACCACAACTTGTGCTGCTGCCACCACACAGGGCAGCTCACTCACTGGTAAGGGGCGGTGCTTTACGTCTTACACCAAGAGACTAACGCCTGGTTCTAAGCATGAGCTGTGTGTGTGTGTGTGTGTGTGTGTGTGTGTGTGTGTGTGAGAGAGAGAGAGAGAGAGAGAGAGAGAGAGAGAGAGAGAGAGAGAGAGATGTGGAAGTGAACAGGGTGGAAGGTAAGAGGAAGGAAAAAAGAAAGAGGAGAATGAGGAAGAAGGAAGCGAGGAAGGAGGAGGGGAATGAAGGAGGAGAATGAATGAGGAGGAGAAAAGGAGGAAGAAAGAAGGAAGGAGGAGGGGGGAAGGGGGGAATAAGAGGGGAAGGAGGATGGAGGGGGATGATGGGAAGGAAGTAAGAAGGGAAGGAAGGAAGGAAGGAAGAAAGAAGTAGCCAAAGAGATTTCTAGGAAGGAGGAAGTTGGGAAAGACGGAAAAAGAACGTGGGAGGGGGGGGAGAGGGGGAGAGGAGGGAGGGAGGGGGGAGAGGGGAGAGGGGAGGAGGGGAAGAGAAAGAGAGGGGAGAATGAAGAGGACGAGATGGAGGAGGGAGGAAAAAGAGGAGTAGGAAGGAGAGAGCGGGAGGGAAGAAGGAGAGGGGGAGAGGAAGGGAGAGGAGGGAAAGATAGAGGAGTAAGAGAAAGGGAAGAAAGGAAAGAGAGGAGGAAGGAGAGAAAGAGAGGGGGGGACGGAGGGGAGAAGGAGGAAGGGAGAGATGGAAGGAGAGAGGGAGGGGAGAGAGAGAGAGGGAACCAAAAACAACTGCACGACGAATAACGGACGACCACAAAAACACGGACGGACGGACAAGCTTCCGAGAAGTTAACACTGTAGAGAAGTGATACCACCGTCAAGACCTGACTGAATTACTCAGAAGAGGCAAACTGTACTACAAGCTGTCAATAAATTGTTAAATTAAAAAAACTGTGGTGAGTGGAGAGGTCACCACGGGGAGGGAGAGAGACACTACTACTACTACCGCTACTGCTGCTGTCACTACTACTGTTACTGCTGCTGCCATTGCTGCTACTGCTGCCACTGCTGCCACTGCTGCTACTACTACTGCTGTTGCTACTACTACCACTGTTACCACTGCTGCCACTGCCACCACTGCTGCTGTTGCTACTGCTGCTACTACTGCTGCTGTTGCTACCGCTGCCGTTCACCGCTGCCCTCCCATCACCGCTGCTCCCCATCCCGCCCTACCACTGCCGTCCTCATCACTGCTGTTGCTCCTACCACCGCTGCTGCTACCACTGCCGTTGCTACTATCGCCGTTCTACCACTGCTGCTCCACCACCGCTGCTGCTACCACTGCTGCCGCTACCACTGCCGTTCCCACCACCGTCGTTCCCACCTACTGCTGCTGCTACCACTGCTCGCCGCCAACTACTGCTGCCGCCACCACTGCTGCCGTCTCTACCACTGCTGTTGCCACCATCGCTGCTGCGACCACCGTTACCACTGCTGCCGTCTTACCACTGTTGCCTGCTCCACTGCTGCTGCTACTACTGTTGCTGCCACCACGCTGCTGCCACCACTGCTGCTGCCATCACCGCTGCTGCCCCATCACTGCCGCCCTACTCACCGCTGTCTCACTCACTGCTGCTGCTACTACTGCTGCTGTTACCACTGCTGCTGCTACCACTGCTGCTGCCACCACTGCTGTCTTCATCACTGCTGCTCCCTACTACTGCTGCTACTACTGCTGCTGTTACTACTGCTGCTGCTACTTACTGGCTGCTGCTCCCATTACTGCTGTCTTACTACTGCTGCTACTAATACTGCTGTTAGCCCAGCCTCCACCAATAGCCACACCTTCGCCAACATTTTATTACCTTAATATTAAATATCCTAATACATAGTAGCTATCCTATCTGTTTGGATTAGTTGAGCCGCAGATCTATGCGGCATTCATAACTACTACTACTAATAATAATAATAATAATAATAATAATAAATATTATTATTATTATTTACCAGAATTTCTAAGAAAAATAGACACAATCACTGACAAAATAATAATATTGAGACAACCTAACCTAACCCAACCTAACTAACCCACCACCCATCCAACCCACCTAACCCAACCCAACCCAACTCCATCCAACCCACCCCAACCCACCCCAACCCAACCCAACCCAACCCACCCCAAACCCAACCCAAACCTAACCTAACCAACTGAAATAACTACTACTACCTTGAGTAGACAGGAAATTATAAAAACCAATTGGATATAATGGATAAAAAGTAGAAAAAAGGCGAGGAGAGAGAGAGAGAGAGAGAGAGAGAGAGAGAGAGAGAGAGAGCATGAACAAAGTCACCCAACAAGACCAGGAATAACACCACCACTTATTGTTATTGTTCGCTTCATCTTGCCTCCCCTTCCTTTCTGCCAC